GATCGTGACCATATGCAGTCTTATGGCGTGGCGGCTGGCCGCGATGAGTCAACTATACGTTGACGCAGCGCGCGTCCGACAACCATACCAAACCCCATTCCTGGCGTCCCCGCCAGGATCCCTCTACTATAAAGGGATAATAGCTTACTTACTCTCATCATTCTCACTAGAATTCACATCGTTAAGTGTGCTGCGCTATTACACTCTCGCGACTGCCACTGCTTTCATCGCTCTCAACTTGCTTGCGCTCTTGCCGCGCTATTGCTTATCGTCGCGCAGCTAATCAGCCTTTGCCATGGCGCCAAAGACGCAAGGCTCGGGCGCTGGACGTGGGAGAGGAGGCTGACAGGGGAAGGCGCCAGGTCGACTAATCGATCTGACGTACGAGGAGGAGAGACCAGAAGAGGAGGAGGAGGAGAGATGGGAAGGAACGCGCTTGCGCCATCGCCCAGAGGACCGGCGCGAGCGCACGCCGTCGCCGAGGTCAATGATGTACTATACATTTTTAATACGAGCAGCGCTACGGCAGTCCGCCTCCACGCTTCGAACTGCCTTCTCGATCTTACCCCTCGCCATACCATCCTTCCTCCTCTGCTCAACCTCATCCTCGCCAACTCGCCGTCCTGCCACAGCCGCCTCGCCTTGCGCCACCGCCGTTGCCACACGTACCAGATCCGCCCGTCGCCCGTCAGGTTGCGCCGCCCAACCATCGCTTGTGCCTCATACTTGCGCTATTCTTCATATGCCAGTTTGAACTGTGCGGCCTCGTATGCTATCTGATATATAGAGGCATCATATAAAACATATCTCAATCATCAAAGTGCTCGCCCGCTAGGGCTCGAGTGCTTGCTCAATAAGGCACGGACCTCTGGTCCAAGCCACCATCAAAATCAAAGAAGGATTAGTCTCATCAAGCTTGCGTGGTGCAGTCACCGCACGCAAATATCATGACCGCTCATGCAGCCCAATCATGCTACCAATCTCGTTTTCTTGCACTACTAAATCAGTCTCAATCTTAGGTCAAACCTCTAATTAGGTTTGACCTCGTGCATCATCACAATCAGACCCAATCCTAGACCAAACCCTATCATAAGGTCTGGCCTAGCAGTCCAAGTCTCAGTCCTGGCCTGCTCCTCTCAACCTCATCGGATCAGTCCATCTCATCAGCACAATATAATCCTCATCATCATCTCAGTTACAGTCCAGCCACGGGTGGATATGGGACTAACCATCAAACTCAGGATCATCTAGGTCATCTTGACCAAAGGCCGCCTCAAAAGGGGGAAACATACCAAACCCCTTTCTCTCTGTCTGCTGGCTCTGTGCCACTTACTGTCGGGTCATACCAAACCCCTTTCTCTTTGTCTGCTGGCTCTGCGCCACTTACTGTCGGGTCATACCAAACCCCGTTGTCTTCATCTGGCTGTAGGGTACCTGCAAAATAGAGATCATGTCATGCCAAAAGAAATACGAGAAAAGGGTCTCCCCTAAAGACCCTTGCCAACACCCCTTCCTCATTCACTCTTTGAGTCTTACCTTTCGGCCTTCCGAGAGTGCCCCCGCTCGCCCTGGTGGGCTCCTCCGCTGACCCAACCTGGCAAGCAGAGCAAAGTCAGTCCTGATTCCCAGTCATGGCGGTCCGACCACCCTCTGAGCCCTTGCTCAGAACAGCTCACGGGGAGCCGCACACCCCTTCATGAAGCCCTCACTCCGATGAGTTCAGACCCATGGACCAGAAGCTCATTAGTCGACATCAGAGCATCTGTCTACTCGCTTGACTTCTTGACTAACGCCCGGCTCTTTGCAACTGTGCGGGGAGCCAGCCAACACCCGACCAGACCCGGCTGGTGAGTCAAAGCGAGTCCACAATTAAGCTTTGCAACAGTGGGCTAGGAGGCCATAATGGCCCTGTTGCCAGTTGGGCAGTGGATACCTGGCTTGGCCCGATGCCAAGGGAATGCCCCTGGAGACACGGCTCCCTAGAGACACCAATCATAGTGATAGTAGGAGTCTACCACCTTGATCAGCCAATTGTCGGATTTAGACTGGGAGAGGCTCAGGATACCTCCTTCCTTTCCAGTAGGCGGACCAGGTCACCACGCGGTGACCCGGGAACGGCTAACCACACGAGGGTTCGAGGCTATCAGCCGCTATGGCTCGGATGCCCCGTCAACCCAGCTAGCCTCTGGACCTGTGAGAACCTGCTTCAGGGAATCATCTCTTGCTCAAGAGGCGCAGTTGAAACTCTCTGCCTCTTCATGAGGGACATAAGTGCTGACACCGCAGGGGACGCCACTGTGGTTAGATTCTCGCCGGTGAACCGTTGCGAGAACCCGACGGCTGCAATGGGAACACTCCTTCCATCAAGAAGAATGCGGCAAGCTCCAAACCGCTGCGATGCTGAGTGATCTTCGCCTCGACCACAAGATCAGACAGATCACTCCATCGACTATGACACATGACTGACTACCTATCCCTTTAGAGCTCGGCAATATCTAACCGCGAAGGCCCATCTGGAGAGGAACCCCATCCGATGATGCTGAGTCCCTTGCCACTGGAACACTTCACTAGGTTAAGTACCACCCTCTTTCAGGAACAACCAATCAACTTGTGTCAGATGATGCTGGGCAATCCTTCTTACGCTATCGTACTAGGAGGTTGCCCCATCAATTGAGCGCTGACTTATGAGAGGAAGAAAACATATCTTCACATTATCCCACAACCATTCATTCCACAATGCCATGCAGACCAATAAAATACAATAAGAGGCAAGAACTGAAATCCCAAGAACTGCCTCCCAATCCCCCAGGCATATCCCAGGACTGACACGTGACAAGCCAGATACAATGCAATGAACTGAAATTTAAAATTTTAACTTACATTCATACAAAACTGGGGCCAATCTGGGCCCGGCAGACACACGAGTCCACCATTGAGCCGAGCCATCATAGGTTGCTCGTATCCAGCTCCGACATCTGAAATCATACCATAATCATAGCAGTCGACTGTCGGCTGCTGCTGGCGGCACACGGGCCACGTCCCAGTACAAAATCGTCATCGATAGTTGGCGGCTCACTGGCCACGTCCCAACTCGTAATCATCATCGATAGTTGGCGGCTCACTGGCCACGTCCCAACTCATAATCATCATCGATAGCTGACAGCTCACTGGCTATGTCCCAGCAAATAATCATCATCATCTGTAGCTGGCGGCAACACTGTCCACATCCCAACTCATAATCATCGATAGCTGGCGGCTCACTGACCACATCCCAGCCAATAATCATCATCATTTGTAGTTGGCGGCAACACTGTCCACATCCCAGCTCATAATCATCGATAGTTGGCGGCTCACTGGCCACATCCCAGCCAATAATCATCATCATCTGTAGCTG